AGCTGTTGAGGCAGCAAGTGATCTTCCAGAATTCTCATTGAAACCACCACGTGGCACCATGGAGGGGAAAGACTTTATTGCTCTGGTTGTCCATTTAAGTACATTTTGATAGTTTTCCTTAATTATTTCATTCCTATCTCACTGGTCCACCAGTCATCTGTCGGTTTGTCATATTGTTGTGGCTTGTGTGTTGCTGTGAGGCTGGTGGCTATGCCACCAGTATTTCAAATACCAGTAGAGTCACCCATGGTGGACAGGTTTCAGTAGAGCTTCCAGACTAAGACAAACTGGGAAGGATGGGGCCATACGCTTCTGAAAAAATTGGCCATTGAAAAGGTATAGTAGTGAAATACTGCCTGATACATTACTAGAAAACTTTATGTATGGCTCTGAAACAGTGTCTGATACAGTGCCAGAAGATGAGCCTCTCAAGTTGGAAGGCACTAAAAATATGACTGGGGAAGAGCTGCCTCCTCAAAGTATAGTGAACCTTAAGGAAAGAAAGCTTTCAGGACCTCCGTTTTCTGATGGAGCATGACTCAAAATGGGTAGAAACAGCTGCAAGCATCCATTAATAATCAGAATGTGGGATGTATGAGGTATAAATCTACAAAAATGGGAATTTGTGAAAAATGAAATGGAACACATGAAGATTGATGTTCTAGGCATTAGTGAGCTCCGATGGACTGGTATTGGGCATTTTGAATCAGACAGTTCCCTGGTCTTCTATGGTGGGAATGACCAATTGAACAGGAATGACATCGTATTTGTCAAAAAGAACATTTCAAGATCTAGCTTGAATAACAGTGCAGAACAGTGCTGTTAGTGGTAGGATAATAACCATATGCCTACAAGGAGGACCAGTTAATACTACTGTCATTCAGATTTACACACCAAATACCAAAGACAAGGGAAATTAAAGATTTTTACCAACTCCGGCAGTCTGAAATTGACCAGACACGCAGTAAAGATGCATTGATGATGACTGGTGACTGGAGTGCAGGAGTGGAAACAAAGAAGTATCAGTACTTGGGAAACATGGCCTCGGTGACGGAGGTGATGCTGGGGGCGCGTGGTGGAGTTTTGTGAGACCAGTGACTCACTCATAGCAAGTACCTTTCTTCAGCAACATAAACGGCGACTGCACACATGACCTCGCCAGGTGGAATAACACGGGAATCAGATGGACTAGGCCTGTGGGAAGAGGTGGTGGAGAAGCTCAGTCTCATCACTCAGAGCAAGGCCAGGGGCCAGCTGCTGAACACACTGTCAACTGCTTGTGTGCAAGTTCAAGTTGAAACTGAAGACATTTAAAACAAGTCCACAAGAGCCAAAATATGACCTTGATTGTATCCCTCCTGGATTTAGAGACCATCAAGAATAGACTTGGTGCATTAAACACCAGTGACCGAAAACCAGATGAGTTGCAGGATGACATCAAGAACATTATACATGAAGAAAGCAAGAGGTCGTTAAAAAGACAAGAAAGGAAGAAAAGACCAAAATGGATGTCAGAAGAGACTCTAAAACTTGCCCTTGAATGGAGAGTAGCTAAAGGGAGTGGAAGACATGATGAAGTAAGAGCTAACAGAAGACTTCAAAGGGTGGCTTGAGAGGACAAAGTAAAGTATTATAATGAAGTGTGCAAAGACCTGGAGGTAGAGACCCAAAAGGGAAGAACATGCTCAGCTGAAAGAACTGAAGAAAAAAAATCCAATCCTAGAATTGCAGTACTGAGGGATTCCATGGGCAAAAGATTGAACAATGCAGGAAGCATCCAAGGAAGAAGGAAGGAATACACAGAGTCACTGGACCAGAAGGAATTCAGGAGGATAGTATATGATCAAGAACCGATGGTATTGAGGGAAGAAGTACGATATGCACTGAAGGAACTGATGGAAAACAAGGCCCTGGGAATTGACAGACCCCCATTGACATATTTCAGCAAACGGATGCTGTTCTGGAAGCACTCACTCGGCTGTGCCAAGAGATTTGGAAGACAGCCAGCCGGCCAACTGACTGGAAGAGATCAATATTTGTGCCCATTCCAAAGAAAGGTAGTCCAACAGAATGTGGAAATTACCTGGTAGCAGAGTGCCTAAGGCACTCGACTGCTAACCAGAAGACTGGCGGTTCAAACCCACCAGCCACTCCTCGGAAGGAAGGTTGGGCAGTCTACTTCTGTAGCGATACTGCCTCGGAAACCCAAGGAGGGGTCGCTATGAGTCAGGTCCGACTTGACGGCACATAACAATAACAACAGCAGCATCATTAATATCATATGCAAGTAAAATTTTGCATAAATGAAAGTTCATAAAAATAATTCAGAAACGATTGTAGCAGTGTATTTATTGGGAACTCCCAGAAATGCAAGCTGGATTCAGGAGAGGGCGTGGGACAAGAGATATCATTGCTGATGTCAGGTGGATCTTGGCTCAAGGCAAAGAATACCAGAAAGATGTTTATCTGTGTCTTATTGACTGTGCAAAGGCATTTGACTGTGTGGATTTTAACAAATTATGGATAACACTGCAAAGAATGAGAATTCCATAACACTTAATTGTGCTCATGAGGAACCTGTACATAGACCAGGAGGCTGTGTTTGAACGGAACAAGGGGATACTGCGTGATGTAAAATCAGAAAGGGAGTGCATCAGGGTTGTATCCTTTCCCCACACTTATTCAATCTGTATGCTGAGCAGATAACCCGAGAAGCTGGACTGTGTGAAGAAAAATGCAGCATCAAGATTGGAGGAAGACTCATTAACAACTTGTGATATGCAAATGACATAGCCTTGCTTGCTGAAAGTGAAGATGACTGGCAGCACTTACTGATAAAGATTAAAGACTACAGTCTTTAGTATGGATTATACCTCAACATAAAGAAATCAAAAATCCTCACAACTGGACCGATGAGCAGCATCATGATAAATGGAGAAAAGACTGAAGCTGTCAAAGGTTTCCTGTCACTTACATCCATAGTCAGCACCACGGAAGCAGCAGTCAGGAACTAGATGTGGCATTGCACTGGACGGGTCTGCTGTGAAAGACCTCTGCAAAGTGTTGAGAAGCAAAGATCGCTTTGCAGACCCAAGCCGTGGTATTTTCAGTAGCCTGATGCGCACGTGAAAGCTGGACAGTGAATAAGGAAGATCGAAGAAGAGTCAGTGCCTTTGAGCTGTGGTGCTGACGAAGAATGCTGAAAGTAACCATGGACTGCCAGAAGGAGCGACTCTGTCCACGAGGAGGGGCAGCCGGAATGTTCTTACAAGTGAGAATGGCCAGACTTTCTCACCTACTTCTGTCATGTTGTCATAAGGGACCATTTCCTGGAGAAGGATGTCATGCTTGGTCAGTCGAGGGTCAGCGAGATAGGGGAAGAGCTTCCGTGAGATGGACAGACGTGGTGGCTACCCCGACGGGCTCCAGCTTAGCAAGGGTTGTGAGGATGATGCGGGACCGCTGTGTTTCCTTCTCTTGTACGTGGGGGTCGCTGAGTCGGAGCTGACTTGACGGCAGCTAATAATCCCCATCTAATAACAGCAGCGATTCGCCAGTCAATGCTGGCAGTGCTTAGCGGCCCCCTGCTCTGCGGGCAGGCCAGAGTGGGGACCAGGGTGGTGGGGACCAGGGGGACGGGAAGGCCTTAGCCTGGCTCAGCCACTCCCCGCACTAGCCGCTAGGTGGCAGTGTTGGCCCAGGCCGGCCGTGGCTGGCTGGGCTGCGCATGGGCGTTCGTCCAGAGGCTCTGTCGCGCTGGGGTTAGATCTGGCCGGTAGAATGTATTGAGGCAGCCATTGAGGCAGAATGTGATTAGGTGCCGGTGAGCCGGCTCCGACTCAGCAATCCTGCCAGCCTCGCAGTTGGTCCCATGCTTGTCACTGGGTCAGGCCCTCTGGTTGCGGGCCTTTCTCTTTTTTGCTGACCCTCCAGTTTACCCAGCGTGATGCCCCTCGCCAGGGACGGTTTCGGCCCGCTGTATATCAGTTCCTTCCCTAAGCATAGACCTCTTGAGGTCAGGAGCGTGTCCCCTGTAACTCCCTGCAGGGCTTAGGATCTGGTGGGGCTCCCTAAGCACTTGAAACAGATGAAGGTTCCTGACTGACTGTTGGGGATTCTCCTGTCTGATTTTGTTGTGTGTGTTGGGTGGGAGTTCGGGGAGGTGCCGATATCCTGGTCTGGGCTGTGCCTTCTCCTGGTGACTGTGCGCTCTTCCCTCTGCAGAGGCTGAAGGATGAGATAGCAGAAGTGGCCAATGAGATTGAGAGCCTGGGCTCCACAGAGGAGAGGTGAGTCGGCCCCATGGCGGGGGCTTTGGCGGGCACAGCTTCTCAGCGCGCCAGCCTGTGACTGTGCTTACCTGGTGCTTCCTGTCCTCCTTTTCCTGCAAGTGCCTATGTGTCACCTTCCTGTCCTCCAGCCCCAGGGCAGGGGCTCCTGGGTGGAGGGGCTAAGCCCCTCGGGTCTCTCAGTGACTGCCTCTTCCTGCTGCTGTCCATTGCGTTTGTGTTAAAGGTCTCGTCTCCTGGTGTAGGAGCCCTGGTGGAGCTGTGGTCAAGGCATTGAGTTACTAACCAGAGGTGGTGGGCAGTTTGAACCCACCAGCCACTGTGTGGGAGAAGGATGAGGCAGTCTGCTTCTGTGAAGATTCCCAGCCTTGGAAACCCTAGGGCGTCATTCTGCTCTGTCCTCTAGGGGCGCTGTGAGTCGGGGTTGACTTGATGGCAGTGGTTTGGGTTGGGTCTCCACGTTGTACAGGCAGAGTTCAACTGGAAGCTGTGAGGCACTTCCCAAAGGACCGGGCCCGGTTTTTGTCGGTAAGATCGCAGTCTTGTTTGTGCCTCTCAAACATAGAAGAGAAGAGGACAGAGAAATGAACTCAGAGGCAAAACGACTAGAGCGTTTGCAGGTTTTTTTTGCCTATGTGAAATATTAATGACTTTGAGAATCTAGTTTTGAATGGGGTTCCCAGACCGTTTTCTAACTGTTTAATGCAATAAATGGGCTGTTTGCAATTCACCCGCGTCTGTGTTTTTCTAAGCCTAAGTCTCCCTGTCTGGCTTCCTGAGGCCGTTTGATGTGGTTGTTGTAAACTCACGCAGGCAGTGCCGCTAGGGAATCAGTGAAGCTGGGCCTTCTGTGGAAGGTGGCCAGGTGCATCACTTACTCGGTGCCATCCGTTAGAGGTACAGCTTCCTTACTTTCCATTTAGAAACTGATAGAGTGGAGTTCATCAGAATTTAAAACTTGTGTTCTTACAAGAGAAACTGTTCAAAGGGATAAACAGGCAGGCCACAGACAGAGAGAAAATGTTTACAATCCATAGATCGAAGGGGGCCTCGTACCCAGGATGCATAAAGAACTCAAGTAACTCAGCAATGACAAGATGACCTGATAAAGATGGGCGAGAAACTTGAGCGCATCACCAAAGAAGCGTGACACACATGGGAAGATGCTCAAGGTGGCTGATCAGAAGGAACCGCAGCTGCAAACTTCCACCCTGCAGGGTGGCAGCATTAGAACACTGGTGGGACCTGGCGCTACGCGCGATTCCTGGTGGCTCCTCTACACGTGCGCCCAGCAAGTGACCCAGGATCCAGGTCGTAGGTGTTCACCCAGGAGACATAACGGCACGTTCACAAGAAGACTTGCACGGGATATGCAGAGCATCCTTACCGAAGTAGCCTACGTGTCTGCCAGCAGGTGACTGATGAACAGATGAGGTCAGGTGTGTAGTCATGTAACAGGCTATGACTCAGCAGTGCAGAGGGGTGAACTGCTAACACGTGATGACATGGGTGGCTGCCCCGTCAGCGCGTTGAGTGAGAGGAGCCATCAGACTGAATGCTTCCATCCATGTGGTGGCTGTCAGGACAGCGCGTCGAGTGAGAGGAGCCATCGGACTGAATGCTTCCATCCATATGGTAGCTGTCAGGACAGCGCGTTGAGAGAGAGGAGCCCCACACTGCTGCGTGTTCCCGGCCATGTGAGGCTCCAGAACAGCAGAGCTCAGCTGTGTTGTTAGGGCCATATGAAAGGTCACCCTTGAGGTGGGGAAGACAGGTTGACTAGAAGGAGGTATGGGGAACTGCTAGGAAGACGTGCTCTGTCATTTGGGATGGTGGCTGTGGGGGGTATAAACGCTTGTCAAAACACATTGAACTGGTCACTTCAGATTTAGGCGTTTTGTTGGATGTCAGTTACAGCTCAGTATTTTAAAAAATGACAAGGATCCTTACAGGTGCAGTGGTTAAGAGCTCAGGTGCCGAACAAAAGGTTTGAACCCACCAGCCACTTTGTGGGAGAAAGATGTGGCAGTTTGCTTCTGTAAAACAGCGATAGCCTTGGAAACCCATAGAGCCATTCTTCTGTGTCCTAAAGGGTGACTATGAGTTGGAATCAACTCTGTGATAGTGGTTTATGGGAAGAAACAATCTTTTTTTCTGACTATAAAGGTAATACCTGGCCAACTGACTGAAGATACCCGTATCTGTACCCATTCCAAAGAAAGTGAACCCACAGAATGTGGAAATCATCGAACAGTATCATTCATGTCACACACAAGTAAAATCTTGTTGAAGGTGATTCAGAAACGGTTGCAGCAGAATGTTGACAGGGAGCGTCCAGAAATGCAGGCTGGATTCAGAAGAGGCCGTGGAACGAGGGCTATCGTTGCTGATGTCACATGGATCTTAGCTGAAAGCAAAGAATACCAGAAAGATGTCTACTTGTGTTTACTGACTGTGCAAAAGCATGCAACTGTGTGGATCATAACAAATTATGGAGAACATTGAGAAGAATGGGAATTCCAGAACACTTAATTGTGCTCATGAGGAACTGTACAGAGACCAGGAGGCTGTCGTTCGAACAGAACAAAGGGATACTGTGTGGTTGAAAATCAGGAAGGGAGTGTGTCAGGGTTGTATCCTTTTACTATACATAATCAGTCTGT